ACAAAATAAAAGTTGGTCAACACAAATGATACAACAGAATTATCGTAAGAAAAAAATTGTAAGCGGAAAGGTAAGTGTATGTTTTGGGTTGTGACGTTCGCTGGTCTATCAAAAGAAAAGAAAAAAAAAAGCGTTTCGCATGAACCGGAAGCACTTCGATAAAGCGCCCCCCCCTCACCAAAATAAAAGTTGGAAATCGATGGGACACAAAATAAAAGTTGGTCAACACAAATGATACAACAGAGTTATCTTAAGAAAAAAAATAGTAAGCGGAAAGGTAAGTGTAATGTCCTGCTTTTTTCTGTTTCACGAACGTATCCAACCTTCATCACACAGCCCCACGTTTTTTATTTTAATTTTTTTTTTTTTACCCATGTGCGATTCGTTTTATTTAAATAAAAAAAATTATTGTTTTAAAAGTTGAGACAGATTAACTGTCGAATGTCCTGTTCTCAGTTTTCTGATATGGGTTTTCGGACGAGTCTTAAACGTAAATTCGCACATCGTGACTAAAATGTGGGATAAAAAACTGACAAAAGTTATGTGGCAGCGGTGGGATTCGAACCCACGCCCCCGAAGAGACTGGAGCCTTAATCCAGCGCCTTAGACCGCTCGGCCACGCTACCATGTTGTCATGAACAGACAGCAAACACCAGTCACACATAAAACCAAAGGAACCACACTGACATRGACTTTAGATTGCCGTTGAGACCTTTAAATCAAACTCATATTCTCAGGGGAAAAAATAAAATAAATAAACAAYAGCAACAAGATGACAATTGTAATATTTTATTTAAAAAATTAGAAAAAAATGATGGGAATAGCTAACACAGGCTTTCAAGTTCAACTTGTACACTCATCTTTAACAACTGAAGAACATACTTGCATCCTAAAAGTAGTTACTTTGGTGAAAAACATCTTAAAACAACCTCGACCACATGCACAAAAATTAAAGAACATCACACAATAAGTATAGATGGACACAAGAGTTGGTGAAATAATAATAATAATAAAAKATCAAATGAAACAATCTGCAGTTTTTTGTTTTGATAATAAAAAAATTATGAAACAAAAGAGGAAACTCTCTTTACATACTTAAAACAAAAGATTGCTTCTAATCTAGCAAAACAGTGAACTGGAATCGGGTGTATATAAAATATAATGTGCCAGAACAATGGCTGTGTCAAGCATTTGGCTGTGATACCCCTTCATGCTGGCCCTAAATATTGTTGAGGTGGACAGACAAAACACCGCTCAGAGGGGAAAAGCTAGACCGCCTGGACGGCTCAGGACTTCTTGGAGGCACAGGTTGGAGGAAGAAGTCTGTGAGAGTTGGCTCGCACCCATGGATGTTCGATGACGCTCTTAAGAGGGAGACGGTCATTGGGGTTGTGGCGAAGCAGCTTTGAGATCAGATCCCGTGCGCCATCAGAGACGACTGTTGGGAACTTTAGATCCACCTGAAAATAGCAATTCAGTAAAAAAGACAAAGAATATTCAGGAAACTCCATCCAAACATGATACAAGACACATTAAAGTCCCCCCCACCCCACAGCAAATACGACAAATTAAGCTACTTTTAACTATACTGAATGATTTTTTTTTTTACAAGCCCCTTTCACATATAATTATGGTGCCTTGCACAAACACCAACCTTCATAATCCTTTTGTACGTTTCTGTGTGAGTGGAGGTTTCAAAAGGTGGGTTGCCAACTAAACATTCGTAGCAGAGGACTCCGATGCACCACAAGTCCACTTTCTCACTGTGAGTGTGCCCCTCAATCATCTCTGGAGGAAGGTAATCCAGCGTCCCGCACATAGTACGACGTCTGGACGAGAACAGGAGGTGAACAGAAGCAGTTGAAGATAGAAAACAAACGACTGGTAACAAAAGAACAATGGTGCTTAGACATCACATTGTGGCTTCTCACCTTAGAGAGGGTGCGTGAACAGACCAACCAAAATCAGCTATTTTTAGCTCTCCAGCAAAGCCGAGAAGAAGATTTTCCGGCTTGATGTCACGGTGAATGACTTTTCTCTCATGGCAATAGATGAGTGCATCAGATATCTCCTCCATGAACTGGGAATGTGAGAAGTGTCAAAAAAACAACAGAGTATTTGGAATTCAGTTTCCAACAACAAATCTTCTACCGTTGCAGTTCGCTGATCATCAAACCGTCCGAGTTTCTGGAGCTCCTTGTACATTTCTCCACGTGGGGCATACTCCAACACCAAAAAAACCCGCTTGCGGTCATGGAAATAATTGTAGAAGCGCAGGATGTTTGGATGCCTGAAATACAAAAAAAAAAAATTTTTTTTAATTAAAAAGGAAATTTGTCAGGCAATGTAAAATCAAACATGATTTTGTTCTTGAGCCACCACTTCCATTGCTGCTCTGCTGCAAACTGGTGTGTAATAGTCACATGCAGCACTCAAGCTTCACCCTCCGGATGGTTTCACACCAATATTACATCTTCACATGTGTGAACAAAGCATCTCGCTACCATGTCAAAGACTGACAATTCAAACAGTCCAACAACATACTTGAAATTCTGCATCTTTTGTTTTAAAATGGAAACCTTCTCACCAGATAAACAAAACACTTACAGTAAGTTTCAAAAACAAAAAGTCAGTGATAGCAACACAGGCGCCTCATTTCATCAGTTTACTGAACTTTAGCACAAGATAAAGGCTATTGTTTGTGTGATGGGTGACCATATTTTCACCCATCCATCTATCTTAACGCACATCTTCTTTTCAGGGTCAATGGTGCCCATATCCAGCAATCACAGGGGTCACAGGTCCTGGATGGACATGGCATCTCTGCATGCAGAAAGGTTCTGAACCAGGATTCAATCCAGCAACCTTGTTGCTGAGAGGCTCTACCAACTGAGCCACTGTGTCGCCATTTCTTTTTATAATAACTTAATATTATAAAAGTAAAATCTGCCATAAATATGTTCTCAAACTGTTTAATGACACATTTGGCCTAACCATTGAAAATATAGATGAAATAAGAATATATAAAATGCAAATAAAACAGAGTTTTTTCTTTATTAAATTTTTTGGGAAAAATAGCAAAAAAAATCKCCTTGCTTACAGGACCTCAAAATATCGTGATATGTCGTATTGTGACCCATGTGTATCTTATCACCAAATTCTTGCCAGAACACAGCCCTAGAATCTAATAGGGGTGTAAGAAAATATCGGTACACTGAAATATCGCGATATTTCATTTCCCGATACTGTATCGATATTCTAAAGCCCTGTATCGATTTTTAATTAAGGTTTAAAATGTCAACCTTCTTGCCAACCGTCCATTTTTATGTTGCCTCTGACCACTAGTTGGCAGCAGTGAGCCAGGCATTTGGCTCCTCTACCTCTTGAATGCCAGAGAGTAAGGGTAGCATTAGCATTGTAAGTAAACATTAGCTTTTCTTTTTTTTTCTTCCCCAGTAAGAGGTTTTTATTTAATAGAATTTTTGGACAAAAAAATCGCAATATATCACAATATATTGCCTTGCTTACAGTATCCCAATATATCGGGATATATCGTATTGTGACTCCTCTGTTATGATATGTATCGTATCGCCAAATTCTTGCCAATACACAGCCCTAGAATCTACAGAAGCATACTGAAAATAATCTGTAAACTGGTATAATAAACTATGATTTTATCATTCAAGACATTGTGTAAACAACGTTTTGAGAATTACTGGTCATAATAAAACACAATGACAAAAAAAATGTGAGCTACTAACTTGAGGTGGGCTTGAATCTCAATTTCCCTCCTGAGCTGATGCTCCACACCTTCCTTCTCCATTTGAGACTTGAACAACACCTTCAGCGCTACAATGGCCTGCAGCTTCTTCACCCTTGCAAGGTAGACGTTGCCAAACTTCCCCTTTCCAAGAGGCCGACCAATGTCAAAGTCATCAATGAAAAGTTTCCTAACATCAAAATAAAAAGATAAGTTTATTATTTATTGAACAAAAAAACAAATCATATCCAGTAAGTGCATTTAAGTATGCTTACTTTGGTAGAGAACTTGAAGGGGAGCCAACACATTCTCTTCCAGGACCTAAAAGTCACAAAACAAGCTTAACAGACAGATTCAAAGTACAAACGCAGATATCAAACTGTAAAGCTTAGATCTGCATGAGAGGAGGACGCTGGTACCTGTGACAACATTTTTGCTCGTTTCTGCTCGTGACTTCACCAGAACACGCTGCGGTCCTGTGACCATACTCGGGGTTGCAAACTAATATTCACAGTGAAAAAAAATTAATAAAATGCAGCAGGAAACTTTTGATCACAAACGTCAATTAGATAAATCATTCTTATGTATTTTACACACTGTGAAATAAATCAAAATAAATGACTACTTCTTACATGATTTCACAGCACTTATTTTAAAAATTATTCCGATGTACCATGCAAATATTGTATCATTTTAGTAGTTTTACTTAAATGACTTCTAACAATTGGTGTTTACCGGTCTTTGTGGACCTCTGGGCTCATAATTTTCCTTATTCTGTAAAATAAACAACAAAAAAAAAAAGGCTCAGATCAACTCACAAACACAGTAGAGATTGTCTAAAATTTATCAATCTGTTTCCAAATTACATCAGCAAGCAAAACTAACTCTATATACAGCATACAGGAAGTAAAAAAGTACACTAAACTATATATTTTCAGGATAACTATGGTTTATATGTTCTGACATAGATGTGTGGCATTTGACCTCAAAACTACTTTCTGTAGTTATTAAATAAATGGTAAGTAACGTAATAGTTCTGATCAAACTGAACAGCTAGTATTTTGTGTTGATTTAATTTAGTAATTTAACTATATTACGTTTTATTATGTAGCTTTTGTTTTATACAATGAATCTGTGTCAACAAGAAATACGTGTTCTATTAATGAGCAATTTGAGCACAATTAAACAGTGAGAGTTTTTGAAGGATACAGAAAAATACACAAAGCTGAAATAAAAATGATTTGATGGCGAAACTAACTCAGATTGAATTAGAAGCAAGCTAACGATTTACATTTTGCTAACGTTAAACTCGCTGCTTAAGAGCTCGAGATTTTGTTAATGGTGCACGTTTTTGTCAAACATTCGATACACTAAATTGTCTTCTACCTTTAGCGTAATGTTGCATGTTTGATAAATAAAAGTAGGTGCAGATATTAGGGAGCTAACGATCGCTAAAACGTTAGCGCACTTTTAGTTTGACATGTCAGCAATTCTATAGCTAATAGTTTTTAAGGATTTTATGTGTTACCCGAATAAAGTTCAGTTTGAAAATATAGCATTACCTGCATCTCAGTTTTATGAAACACGTTTTAACTGCGCAGCGTGGAAAAGTCTGTTTCCTTGTTTGAAAACCTTCGTCTTATTCTTTTTAAATTTCCCAGGCCGCCAACGGTTTTCAAAAAAAAAAATCCAGTTTGAACGAACGTGATTGGTCAGAAGGTTGAAGAAAGAGAACAACCATTGGTTAGAATTTTTGCCAAACGAAGTATATGATTGGTCGAGACTGATAATGATCCCGCCCCCTTTTCCCCCCCCTTACTTGTAAATCAGTTATGAAATAAATCATGTTATATTTCAAAGCAAATCATAGAWCACTGACATATTTCATAGAAATAGAAATTCTGGCTATGGGTTTTTACAAATATCTGCATTTTTAATCTTAAATTATCTTATTGTGGACAGCCTTATTTCCCTCTGGGATCAATAAAGGATTTTTGAATTGAATTGAATTGAATTGAATTGAATTGACCCTGACCATCCTCTTCACTGTCATGGAAAACATTGTCTTCAGTCAGAGGCTTCTTCAGTTTTGTTGTAATACAAACAGCTACAGATCTTTCTTGCCCACAGCTATCACCAGCTACAATAACTCTAGTTAAATGARTTACAACATATAATTTCCCTCTGGGATCAATAATGTGTTTTGAATGGAATTGAATCTATCACTAAAATACACACAAAACATGATTGAGATTACTTTAAAAAATGAAATTCTACTGCTGTGGAGATACAYATGTTGTAGTTTGTTTTTACAGAACTACACACCCTATAAATACATTTCAAAAACTGACAAACTGAGAATTAGACCTTGAAAAAGTTTATTCAAAACAATTCKGCTTTTACAAGATTCACAATTAAAGCCCAGGACAACCTTTTTTCATGACATTGTCACTGTCCACTTCTCTGTTCCCAATTTTGCACGGTGCATTCCATCACATGGACAAAAAGTATGCTTTCTGAATGCATACATTAACGGTTTAGCGACAGGAAACAGGTGGGCCGTTTCTTGCAGTTTGACTCTGACACCTGCATATTTGCAAACACTGAAGAATGTAACTGTTCTGCTATATGATTGTATGTAACTGGATTACAGAAGAAGTGCTAAAAAGATTTGTTTTTCTTTTTATCTTTTTTCTACAACTAAAACAAATCTGCTAGTTGACAAATTATGAAAAAAAATGTAATCACTTTAGGGCAAAAACCTACTTATTGGCTCAAAACTTGAAAAATAATCATTTCTGAAAACAAACAAAAAAAAAACCAAGAAATATCCTACATCTTAAATAATCTTGAAGAAAAAAAAAAAAAAAAAAAACCAAGAAATATCCTACATCTTAAATAATCTTGAAGATTCAAACAAATAAATTATCTGACTAATCTCATCAAGGTATGATTTCTGTGTTTTTCCTACAAAAATCCGATGATTTCTATTATTTTTCTTCATTTTTAACATTTAATACTAATGTATAAAGTTAGTAAAGCACTATATAAAATATTGCGGTAAACTGCAATGCCACATGAGCGATGAAAACTTGCTTTTGACACAATAAAGCGTTATTATTTAATTATTTCTACATGCAAATTCACAGAAGATTGTGTGAAAGTGTAAAATGGACTGCATTTAAGAACATTTGTCTTCTTATTGATAACTGAAAGAGTTTTTGTTTTCCTTTAAATACACTTCCTTTTTAAACACACAAAAACTTTTATCATACACACAGATGAATTACAGTCAACACGATGAAAGCCTCTGGACTAATGTATAGTTCAGTTTCTTCCTCAAGGACATCTTTAAAGTTAAACAATTTTTTTTTAGATTTTTCTACCTGGATTAGTGAGATGCATCAGGATGCTTCCTCAAGGACACTTCAATATATGAATTTAGGAAGCCAAGGTTTAAATTATTGGCCAAAATTTTTTTTTTTTAGTTTTGAGCCACATCTGCCCTAGAAAAGGGATTTCATGCTGACATTCAGTCTGGGTTGATTTGAACAGTGCAGTTGGTGAAAACTAAAGCGCAGGACGGGAGCTTTTCAGTCAGTGATCGCCGCAGACTTAGGAACGGGTCATTTCCATCCTGAGTCCTGTTTCCATCACTAACATCGTCATCCGCACCTCCTTCCTCTTCGTCCTGCCGTTCCTCGCCACCTCCCTGTTCCTCGTCCGGGATCTGCCGCGGCTGGAAAATCACATCCAGAAACTCCAGCCGGCGGAGTCCACTGATCGACCGGCAGCTCCGCACAACCTGCAGCTCGCTTAGCGTGCAGGCCCAAAGACACAGGTGCTTCAGGTCCTTCAGATAGCTGGTGCAGAACAGGCCCGGCGCCACCTCCTTACCTCCAAGGCTCAGCTCCTCGAGTCCAATCCAGCCTGCCCTCAACCCAAGGGAGGCCATCTGCAAYGGGTAGCCTTGTCGTCCCGTAACGCCTATTTCGAGAAATTTAAGTCTGGAAAGCCTTTCCACACCCACAGCTGCATTAACCGCACAGCTTTGGAGCCCGTCTGCTGTTACACGAAAGGTGTCGCGTAACTCCAGTCGACTCAGCCTTTCCCACGACGTCAGGCTCTGAAGGTGCTGGTCTGTAAACGAAGGCACGTTGTTAAGGGCCAACTTCTCGATGCCGATTCCCGAATGACAGCTGAGCCTTTTGCCTCTCTTCTCCTGTCTTTGTTGCGAAGCACTGGACGTGGCTTCTGCTCGGTCGTGAGGTGCAGCGGGCAGGCTTTGGCTGAAAAAATCCCGAGGCAGCTCGCAGCTGCACAGCTCCAGCGCCCTCAGAGACGGAGGGAAGGCCCGGCAGCTGGGCAAACTCCGCAGATCTGAGTGGAGGAGGTAGAGCTTGCTGAGGCGCGGGCATTTCGTGGACAGAGCTTTGAGCCACGCCTCGGAGAGGAAGGTGCCGCCTCGGGCAGAGAGCAGCAGACCCCGCAAGCGAAGGCTCCTCAGTCCGCAACCCAGGAACTGGCGCAGGAGGACCCAAAGGATGCGGGAGGTCACCTGGCACACGGTCCATTAATGTGTGTGCGAGTTGAGGGCAAAAAGAAAAACAAGTTTATGTCAACAAATATGCAATTAAAAAATGCTTAAAGCTCAGTGGTTATTTCTTTAATTAGATTTTTTTCTTTCTAAGATTTCTTAACTCTCACACATTTAAATTACTAACACAATACATACTGAAACATGCATTTAATAATAAAGCAGCTATAATGTCACTTCACTAATGTTCATTGAAAAAGACAGATGAAAAGTGGTAAAGCCACATTTCCAGTAAGAATCTTACCCCTTTCCATGAGGTCAAATCAACATTCCTCCATAGTCTTTGGTCTTTAACAAGGCGTTTCCACCTCTTACACACTCTAGAAAGAAAAGCAAAAACTTCACTCATTTGGTATTGGTCACAACATGGAAAACCCCCCTGCAGACTAACAAAACACACAACTGTTAAAATAACAACAAAGAAAGAAACGAAAATAAGAACTTACCTCCCAGCTCTGACAAGCTCTCTAACGTTCAAATACGATAAAACATCTATTAAAATGTTCTCAGGGCAGAAATCCAGATTACAGGCTTTAAATTCGTCCATTTTGTCTACAAAAACTCTGAAAATCTTCCACACGGACAGAATATTCAGACGCACACGGGTTGCGCCCAAATCAGAACCCCCCCAGGAAACAGCAGCTCGTCGACTGTGTGACCTAGACTCGATCTGAAATCTCAATTTAAAATCCTTTTATTTCTAACAGTAGAGGGACTCGGTCGATGTCGTCTTTCTTTCAGGAACATTGGCAAATTTATGACAACACCCGTGCGCTGCAGCTTTTTTCAAAACAGAGGTATCGCCGCCTCGCGTTCGTTTGGTGAACTGCTCCCGACGCCCGCGCGCTGTACGGGTGTTGCACCGGTTTATGTGACCGTGGCATTCTGTGACTCCAGGGGCCGCTGTTGCCTAAACACCGGACAAGATGGCGACCAGCAATGGTGGAGGAATGGAAGTGGATGGGGCAGGCAAGTATTTATCTCTTATCCCGTCATTTAAGTCTGACATCAGTATGGATGAATGTAAATATTTCCTGTCGTGTTGTGTATTTTGGTCACGAGTAGTCGTAAGCGGAGACTTTGCGGTTTTGAAGGTTGCTGACATAAGCGGGTTAACGCACAGACACACAAGCTCAGTAAAATAACCAGTCACTTCATAGATTCTCTCTCATCTGTTCTGCTTTGTTACTAGAGTTTGGATCAACACAACTACATTTATTTACTTCAGTATGTCTTTACGATTCACTACTTTACAAGTCAACAAACTGCAAACCAGGGTGGCACACGCTTGACGTTGTTCACTGCGAATGTCAATGCTATTTTAACCCGTTTTAAATTAAACAATCTGTATAAATATCATAAATCAATTGTTTAATTTTTGTTGTACATTCTTGCTTTCTCTACTAAGTTTTATACAATTCGGCCCTATAGTGCTGGATGTTGAAACAAATTAAACTCATAACTTCCTGTTATTTGTATTGTATGAACAGAAACGTGTTTTGTGTCATTATTTAGATGTGAAATCTTGTAGAATTATGAACTATATTTTAGCCTCAAATCTAAACAAATTGTTCCTATTACAGTGCAGGATAGACTGCAGGTCATTCATTTATCACCACAGCAGTCAGGCCTCTCAACAGCAGCACAATCTAACTATTGTTATTAATAATTCACGTTTTATTTTACAATGTTTCTTTTTTAATGAGGATGCTGTCCACAAAGTGGTTCTTTTGTCTCCTCGGGGTATTTCACGGCATTATTTTTGTTTATCATTGCTACTGTATGTAGGTGTATGTACTTAGCAAAAACAAATAACAAAAGTCATTACCAAAGAATTAGTTTTTTTGTAATATTGATCAATAATTCTTCAAGCTTCCTGAAGGTTTTCAAAGTTTTGTTGGGGATTTAAAAAAATAAGTCACATCTGATCTACACAATATTGAAAACTTATTAATATAAATAAACCTATAATTTAAATGTAACTTGTTTTTGTTACCTACAGAAGAGATCTGCTGTGGCAGGTTACATTTTTTTGTCTGGTTACAGTCAGTGGTTGTTCGGACTTTTAACCTGACAACATTAAAGAAGCTGTTGGAGCTGCTGTCCAGTTAAAGCTCACCTCGTGTGTCTCTCTGTGTGTCTGCAGCAAGCCCCAGTGTCATGGCCTCGGGGGTCACTGGGAGCGTTTCTGTGGCCTTACACCCTCTGGTTATCCTCAACATATCTGACCACTGGATACGCATCCGCTCCCAGGAGGGGCGACCTATGCAGGGTACGCACGCCGACAAAAAAAACCTAGCTTACACAAATATCTGTTTTTATTAAAGTAACACATTTGACAAGTGCTTTTTTTTTCCTATTTTTTGCTTTTGCTGACAAGCAGTTAGAAGAATGGCTCACTGAATGCAGCATACTTATAAACAAGTGTGCTGAAAACTGTGTTTTCTCGTCCCAGTGATTGGAGCTCTGATTGGAAAACAGGAGGGTAGAAACATCGAGGTGATGAACTCCTTTGAACTCATGTCTCACACCATAGATGACAAAGTGCACATTGACAAGGAGTACTACTACACCAAGGAGGAACAATGTAAGCAATTCTTTTTAATAACCAAGTACTGCACAGCTTGACAGATATATTTCAGTATTCAGGTGATTATGGTAAGGTRTTAGACAAAACTCTTAACTTAAAAATAAATCAAATTATGAAACAACAAAGCCCTGCTGATGAATTTTTGCACAGTATTTTTTTTTTGTATTTTATTCTTTTAAGTTTACCCACATCTTTAGTTATTAAAGACTACAAAGTCATTGTTAATATAATTGGATCTAGGCTGAATAATTAAACATATCTGAGATCAAGTCATCAATAATAATTTTTAAAATAAGTAGATAAATTAATGTTTTTCTGTTGGAACATCCTGTTGTTTCTCAGTTAAACAGGTCTTCAAAGACATGGAGTTTTTGGGCTGGTACACCACAGGTGGACCCCCAGACCCGTCAGATATCCACATCCACAAACAGGTATGTAAACACTGAAGCCTGTCCAGTGCAGAAAGGCAGAATACGGCTAATACCACTAATAATAATAATACAATCACTAATGACCTCAGCTAGCTTGGTTTAAAAAAAAGAATTTAAAAATCAGACCAAAAAAAAAAAAAACATTTTCTGCAAAAATGTAGTGATGCTAATAGCTGAATGTCAACTGAAGAAGCTAAAACTGAGTTGGTTAAAGCTATAAGAGCAGAATACTAGCTAAAAGCTAAAAACTAAAAGATTAAAACCCTAACTTAAAGCTTAAAGTTGCATAAAATTATTTAAAAATGGTTAAAGGCTAGTTAAAGGTGAAAAGCAAAAGGCTGGCTCAAAGTTAAAAGTAGCAAAATGCTAGCTGAAAAAACAGTTATACTGCCGTCAAATGCCATCTTTAATTTCTTTGAATAGTTACACGGCAGCTGAATAACAAGTTTTGTTATTAATAAATGTTCCTTTTTCATCTCRTGCACACTTTCTGTTCTCCTTTTCCTGCAGGTGTGTGAGATCATCGAGAGCCCCCTCTTCCTGAAGCTCAACCCAATGACCAAACACACCGATGTAAGTTCATCCATAATAAAATTTAAATAAAATAAAAAGTCTGTGTTTTAATCCATCAAGAAAGAAGCAGCGGCACGCCGCTGGGTTTGAAACCAGCCTCTCTAAACCGTCTCTTTCTCTCCCTCAGCTTCCTGTTAGCGTTTATGAATCTGTGATTGACATCATCAGTGGCGAGGTAGTTTTCTTCCAGCTCGGTTTCAATTTTTAGTTATTTTTTAATATATAATTCATTTAAAATTGTGTATTTGTTTGTTATTCAGGCTACCATGTTGTTTGCTGAGCTGACGTACACTTTAGCCACAGAGGAAGCGGAGAGAATCGGAGTCGACCACGTAGCTCGAATGACGGCCACCGGCACCGGAGAAAACTCAACGGGTAAGAAATGCAACAGGGCCTGTTCAAATTAGCCGCAGAACCAGTTCCAGAATGAAATACCAGTCGCGTGTTCTCACTCAAATGAAATACTTTAATTTTTTTCTCCTTTTAGTGGCTGAACACCTTATAGCTCAGCACAGCGCGATAAAAATGCTCCACAGCCGAGTGAAGATCATCCTAGAATACGTCAAAGCCGTAGAAGCAGGTGAGCGAAGCACCGACGCAAAAGAATGTGAAAATAAATCAGCAGAAGCAGCTGTTCTCGAAGGTTTCTTCTCCTCCTGTCTGTTTTTACATGCTCAAACACACCACCTGTAATTACCAGTTTCTCTTCAGTCATATTTTAAAAACACTGACCAAACTCCGCTGTTTAAAATACATTTCTTTTGTGCGTTTGTGTGACAGGAGAGGTGCCGTTTAATCATGAGATCCTCCGTGAAGCTAACGCCCTGTGCCACAGGCTGCCGGTCCTCAGCACCATAAAGTTCAAAACCGACTTCTATGATGTAAGTCTTTTTTTGTAAATAATAGTATTATATTTCAATACACAAAGATATGTTTAAAAGAATCAATGATTAGACATTATTTGATAAACRTTTACTTCAACTGTAAAAAATATTGTCACATGGATTAATGCTGCAAAGCACAAATGATGAGTGCAAAGCTGAGCAAGCTTTTATCTACCCTGAAGCTTTGTCTTCTTCTATCTGATGATCATAACTTTTAAATGAAAGCAGAACGCCTTGACAGAGAGGAGAATGTAGAAATGACTCAGCCTACAACGTAAAGTGGATGGAGGACAACAGAGCTGCTTCATGGATTGGAGAACCTCAGCTTAGCCTATTAGCCTATGTATATATACTGTATATATA